GGCAGGGGGATGCAGGTGGGAGCAAAGTCCCTGCCCTCACGGAGCCTGTGCCTAGTGAAGTAGATGAACAGCAATAATAAATCACAAGATAATCATGAGCCATGATAAATGCTCGGGCAGGAAGAAAGGGATGAGGCTGAGAGTACTGGGGAACAGGTGAGACAGCTGAGGAGAGAGGGAACGCGTCAGTGCTGCTGGCCCACCCTGCCGTGGCTAAGAAGCAGATGAGTCTTGCCCTAAGGACCTGAACACTGACACTCTGAAGATGCTTCTTTCCTGCCATGTAAATCATCACTGCCCACCCGTCCCCCCATCATTACAGTAAAAACATTTATTCTGGCTGGGCACGGTGGCTCACACCTGTAATCCCAACACTTCGGGAGGCCAAGGCAGGAGGATCCCTTGAGGCCAGGAGTTCAAGACCAACTTGGGCAACATAGTGAGACCCTATCTCTACAAAAAATGTAAAAATTAACTGGGCATTGTGGCGTGCACCTGTAGTCCCAGCTACTTGGGAGGCTGAGGTAGGATTGCTTGAGCCCAGGAGTAAGCTGCAGTAAGCTATGCTTGTGTCACGGTACTCTAGCCAGGGTGACAGAGTGAGACACTGTCTCTAGAAAAAAAAACACTTATTCTTACAATATAGGTAAAAATGTTAATTTGAGTTTTGAATCATGTTTTTCATGGACTAAAAGTACATAACTCAGTATATTGTATATAGATGACTCAGTATATTATATGAGACCTTGGGGAGGGCAAGAAAAGTCCTCAGTATGTTATAGGGGTTCAAAAATATTTGAATGAATTAATGACATCAGCAAATCAGAAAAAAAACCACGATTTTAATGTGAGCTTTAGTGACTCCTCAGGTGCCCAAAAGGAATAAAACTTTTGTTCCAGGTGCTGGGTTAGTTATTCCAGACAGAAGAGGAATTTTGGGAAGAGAATTCAAAAAACAATAGCAGGGTTTCTGAAAAAGCTAAAACAGAATTATTACCCTATGAATCAGCAATTCTGTGTCTGGGTATATAACCAAAAGAATTGGGAGCAGGGACTCAAACAGATCATTGTGTTGCTTAACAACAGGGATACTTTTGAGAAATGTGTCATTAGACAATTTTGTTGTGCAAACTCATAGAGCAGGCATCCTCAAACTACAGCCCGCGGGCCACACACGGGTGTTTTTGCCCATTTGCTTTTTTACTTCAAAATAAGATATGTGCAGTATGCATAGGAATTTGTTCATGTTTTTTTAAACTATAGTCCAGCCCTCCAACAGTCTGAGGGACAGTGAACTGGCCCCCTGTTTAAAAAGTTTGAGGACCCCTGTCATAGAGTGTACTTACACAAACCTAGATGATATAGCCTACTACACACCTAGGCATATGAGATAGCCTATTGCTCCTAGGCTACAAACCTAGCCAGCATGTGACTATACTGAATACCATAGACAAATGTAACATAGTATTTGTGTATCTGAACATAACTAAACACAGAAAAGGTACAATAAAAATACAGTATCATAATCTTATGCCACCACCCATGTATATGCGTCTGTCGTTATACAAAACGTCATTATGCAGCACATGACTATACTTGTGTGGAAATGCTCATAGCAGCATTATTCATAATAGCCAAAAAGTAGAAGCAACCCAAGTGTCCTTCAACAGATGAATGGGTAAGCAAAATGTGGTCTGTCCATACAGTGGGATATTGTTCAGCCTTAAAGTAATGAAGATCTGATACATGCTACAACATGGATGAACCTAGAAAACATACTAATGAAAGAAGCCAGACACAAAAGGACAAATGTTGTATATCCACTTCCATGAAGTACCCAGAGTAGGCAGATTCACAGAGGTAGAAAGTAGAATAGAGGTTACCATGGGCTAAGGAAGGGGGAATGGGAAGTTATTGTTTAATGGCATAGGGTTTACATTTGGGATGGTGAAAAAGTTCTGGAAATAATGGTGATGGTTGCAAACCATTGAATTATACACTTAAAAATGGTTAATGTGGTAAAAAAAAAAATCTGTGACACTGATTTTTTTTTTTAAGTTTGTTTCATTTTTTTATAAAGTTAGTCTAACCAACTTAAAAATAGCAGGAAGAATTCTAGAGAACTATTCAAATTTTGGGATACTAACATGTTGCATATTTTCCTTTTCAATTAAAGGACATTGCCCTAAAAACCAGAGAAATCTTCACCAACCTAGCACCATTTTCAGAAGTTTCGGATGATGGAGAAAAGCGAGTCCTCAATTTGGAGGCGCTAAAGCAGAAACGATTTCCACCAGCAACGGAAAACTTCCTTTACCATCTAGCAGCAGCTGAACAGATGCTGAAAATCTGACTCTAACAGATGTCTCACTGATGACTGATAGAAAACTTTCACTCTGATTATGCATTAACTATGTAAAATACTGAAAAAAACAGAGAAAATGTTATATTTTTAATGATTTATTTGAAAGTATTGAGATTCGACCTTAAAAACACTGAAGCACATGAAAACACTTCTGATTTTCTCCTAGCTGATTAGTCTCCTGCCCACTGTCAGTGTTGGACAAAGTGCTGTAACTACTATATATAATGTTATAAAATGGCCCGATGTCCTGGAGTAAGAGGGAAAAAAAGCTGTCAAGTTCTTGTGCAAATCACAAGGAATACGAAAGCCTTCATTATTATAAGTTCCAGCCTGTCTCATAGTGTAGTGATAAACTAATGGTTTACTTTCAGAAAGCTACCTGAAATTTTGCTTTGTATTCTTCTAGGAAGAACTTTAATTCCAACTGAGGAACTCTACTTTCTGAGCCAAACTACTAAGTTTTCTGCAGAACTGTCTAGAAGATCATTCAAAAGACCCTGCAGTTGCACTTTCATGTAAAAGAAAAAAAGTTTTTTCCTGGCCTTTGAACATTTTGCCTATATTGTGCATACATTTTATACTTGAGTAGACAACTTTAATAATCCATATTTATACTGTTGCAGAAGCAAGCATTTGGCAAACGTAAGCTATTAGTGCTCTTTAGTTAATCCAGTTGCTAACTATTCTTTTGAAAAAAATGCCAGTCCTTATAAGGTAAAATAAGAAGCCCATTTTGAATAGAAACATCTGTAGGACTAAAACAGTGACTTTCTATAGTTGGTAAGGGAGTGTGAGAATTAACTCCTTACAGGGGCCAAAACCAGAATGTCTTCAAACAACTTCGGTGAAAGTAACATGGCCACATATCAAGGTAACTGTTCTTTTTCAGTTATGTACCTTTTTCATAATTGGAGACCTTGAAATTGCCAAATAGGCATGGAGTTCTAAATTATGTACTTATTTTATTATGTATATTCATATTAATTATGAAAGATGATTTTTCACTCAGTACTGATGTCCTTAGAAATCTTACCTGGAAACATGTTTGTAAAAAATTTCTTTACTAGATCTTTCATTTTTTCTTAGTATTAGACATTTGTTAAATAAAAATTAAAAATAATCTTTTCCCCCCCTCCCTCTTTTGGTGGGGAAAGGGGAAGACCTGAAATGAGATGATGTTTACTGAGGCAAGCAATTGAAAATTAAATCTGCACTTTATGAAAATGAGTACTAACATCTATTTCTTCCTCATTTTTTTATGTTACTATATAATGATCAAAGTTGTTAAAATTACAAATTTATAATGCAGAAATAAAATGGAAATATTTTGATACCCAACAAACTTTTAGGTAGGTAAAGAACTGTGCCCATTTTCTTAATCCTCCCCACTCCAAGCAAACAAAAGAAAACAAACCTTTTTTTCAATGGTGAAGGCTCTAGGGGATCTGTAAAATACCTATTGAAAGTTGAAGCCACAGCTTGGCTGTGCCCCTTCTCTCCTGCCTAAGCCTTCCTCCATCCCCTGCTTCCTGGAGAGGCCCGGTAACTGTAGTTTCCTCTCCTTGAATATGCCTTTACATTTAGACTCTTATCTGTTAGTGGCTAAACCTCCACCTGGAGCCTTTGCCCATCTTTAATTTTGTTTGGTGTAAGCCTGTGGCCAGACTGAGTCATCTGGCAGATAATTTTTATTGATTTTTTTCCTTTTAGGATGTTGTGAAACTTTTCTTACTAAATCTGGAAGTAACTGTCGTTCTGGCCTAGGGAAAGCTAAAAGCCACAGATGTATTTTTTGGTGATTTAGGGTGTGTTGGAAACATTCCTCTAGTACACAAATGTTTGGGTACCTGCTCTGCGCCATGCCCGGTGCTACTGTGATGAGCAAGACAGTCTGTTCTCAAGCACGCACAGTCTACCAGGGGAACAGGATCAGCAAACAGGCACTGCACTGAGTTGTGGCCAGTATCAGGTCACCCAATTCAGTTGTGAATCCTAGAAGTTCTCCTGGAGGGAGCCATCAATGTCAAAATCAGACCTGATGCATAAGCTGGAGCACAGGGACTGGCCTGTGTGAGCGACTGGGTTGGTCCAGAGGGAGGGAAGAGAGTGGCCAGAGGTGAGCAAGGGAAAGGCTCTTGCCTGCCATGATAAGGAATCTGGACTTGATCTCGACACGCTCGTGAGCTGTTTAAGGCTGTTCAGCAGGTGTGGTTTAGAAGAGCAGGCTGCAGCCCGGACTGGAGGGAGCGGCGGGAGACGGCTGGGGTTGCTGCTGGCTGCACTGGAGCTGCAGCAGTGGACATGAAGAAGTGGCTTCCAAAGATGACTATATTGGGTGCCATCTACTGAATGGGGTGCAGAGAGGGCTTGGTAAGGGTGCCACCAATGATCCTGTCCGATACAGCTAGTGTCATTTCCTGAGACTGAGGGGGAGAGCTGATCTCAGGTCTGGACAGGTTGAGTGTGAGGTCTGTGGAACATCCGAGTGGCAAAGCGCAGTGGGCAGCTCAGTGACCGGCCTGGGCTCCCAGCAGCGTTAGTGGGGCACGGATGACATGGATGAGAGAAGTCTTAACAGAATGGGAGGCAGGGCAGAGACCGTGAGGGCACACGACGCTTTCAAGAAGTCTGGCTATGAAGGGGGTTTGTTTTTTTAATGAGGCAGGTGACTCATTCACGTAGTTTACATGCTACTAGGAAGGACCCCGCATGGAGGCTGGAGCCGGAGGGACAGCTGACCTCGAGTACAGGACAGGGTGGGGACGGGGGAGGGCAGTTTGCAGATTTGGTGCCAGGAGGTTCCACCGCTGGCTGGCCCTGGTTTTCTGGGCAAAGGAGGAGACGGGGTCCTTCGCCAGTGAGGGGAAAGGCCCAGGGTGGAGGGTGGCAAAGATTTTAAGCAGTTGTCTAGAATTGGGTAAGCCGAGTAGGGAAACAGGATTGCTTTGGGGTTGGAGGCCTTAAACAGCTTCCCAGACGGGTCATGTTTATCCTGAGCCAGGCTAGCAACTTCAAGCCTGTGTCCTGGGCATGGTGGACCCTTTGCCTTTATTTCTTCAAATACTCAACTTGAGACCAGTTTATTAGTGATTTCACAGGCTGGTCCTCACCCTATGGTGAGGTCTCAGCAGCCCTACTGGGGTGTTAAGACAGGACACCCTCCCACTGTCTTCTGTGGCCAGCCTTAAAGACACAGCAGCCTGGAAACAGCCGAGACACGTGCAGCCTTAAGTCACGCCGTCAGCGCAGACGCCTCTCGGTCCCAACCTTCGGCAGAGTCCTCAAAACCTTGACAGGTTTTCAAGCAGGAACAAATTCACCAAAACTCCCCCTACACCCCTCTGTTATAGTACAGTTCTGTTTCTTCCGTTGAAGACCGAATTTCCTCTTCAAGATTACTGCACTGTATCTGAAAGACAGTTAAATTCTTGATATTTATATTAATACTTTTTCTTGCCTTAGAAGCCAAGTTAAAAAACTCATTTTCTGAAAGCAACCATTTCATAGTTACCTTTTTCAATGATGTTTAATCTATACCAAAAAAAATATAACCTAACTTCTTAAAAACTTTTTTTTTTTTTTGAGACAGAGTCTCACTTTGTTGCCCTGGCTAGAGTGCCGTGGCATCAGCCTGGCTCACAGCAACCTCAAACTCCTGGGCTCAAGCAGTCCTCTTGCCTCAGCCTCCCGAGTAGCTGGGACTACAGGCATGCGTCACCATGCCTGGCTAATTCTTTCTATATGTATTTTTAGTTGGCCAATTAATTTATTTCTATTTGTAGTAGAGACAGGGTCTCACTGTTGCTCAGGCTGGTTTCGAACTCCTGACCTTTAGCAATCCTCCAGCCTCGGCCTCCCAGAGTGCTAGGATTACAGGCGTGAGCCACTGCACCCGGCCATTAAAACCTTTTTAGTGGAAAATTCAATTACAAACAAATGTAGAAAGAACATAACGGACCCTCATCACTCAGCAGTAATTTAACAACCTTCGATCTTATTTCATCAAGCACTTCCTGTACCCAGTAATGGGAGTTTTTATCTTCAGTATGTTAAGGCAATTCTTAGATGTGTCATTTCACCTACAAATACTTCAATATGAAATTCCAAATGATAAGGATTTTGTTTACATTTATATATTTTGTTAACATTTATATAGTAATATAGTTATGTAACTACTATGCCACTATCATACCTAACAAAATTAGCAACAATCCCCTAATATCATCTAGCACCCAGCCACCCTTCCAGTCTAGCAGGGCCATAGATGTACTAGCCAACACTGTATCGGTCCTCGAGGTTCTGGACCTGAAGGGCATGGCAGCCCGTGGTATGTCTGAGGAGACACTCTGGGCGGGGGCCTGGCAGAACCCGTCTTGGCCTCTGCAAGTGGACTCGGCCACCCCAGCTGGGACCAGGAGGCGGGGCCCCCAACCAGCCCAGGAACACCCATCAGGCACCTCGATGCCCACCTTGGACCAATAGTATTTTCAAGGCCCAGCAAGTCTTGGTATTTGGGGTTGTTATGGCGAGACGGACTCCATTTCCTGCCTCTACTCTGGCCTCTGGGAGCTGTGTCCCCTACAAGCCTTGCCCGACTCACCCGCTGCCTACCGCCTCGGCCTGGCAGTGCAGGCCCCGCCATCCTGCCAGTCACATGCAGCCCTGTGTGCCCTTTCAGCCACCCTGCAGCCTCCACTGGGAAGGCCCTCTTCCCTCTCCCATCTCTGCCTGTTTAAACCCATCCATTCCTAAAGGCTACCACCTCCTCCATGAAGCCTTCCTGGGTCAGCTGGCAATTCCTTTTTCTCTAATCTCCCTATAGCATTTCAGTCATGTTACTGTCAGGTAACAGCTGTTTGCATATATGACACACCGTTCCCACAAACGCCTGTGGCAGTCTCAGAGACTGCCACCTGCTCCCCTATCTGTGTCTCTTCTTCATAGCAGGACTTTAAACAGGTCCAGAGTAAACACCTCTCTTCCCAGCCTCCCCTGCAGTGAGGCTCAGCGCAGGACCGAGTTCTGGCCAATGCGACAGAAGTGGAAGCGGCGATGTGGATCGTGGACGGCGCATCTTGTGCCGAGGACGATGGCAGCACGCTGAGCTGGAAGGAGCCGGGTCCCTGAGGACTCCGTGACACATCACCTGGACCTCACACTTATGGAAACAAGAAATCAACTTCTACCTTGTTCAAGGCACTTGTGCTTAGATCTCAGTTACGACCAAATGTACTTCTAGCTGACACAGAGCCCTTCCTTCTTGGGTTCTCTTCCTGGCTACTGGCATCACCCTGAGCCGGAAACCTGGGTGTCCCCAACCCCTTCCCCTGCATCACTGTCCCGAAACTCCCAACCCGAGTGCTCCCAAGTTCTGGCTCATCCAGTTCAAGCATTTCTCTCTAAGCTGCCAACATGGACTAGCACAAGCCCTGTCCCCTCCAGCCTGAGTGACTTCCGCAGCCTCCCAATGGCCCCACCCGCCATCCAGGATCCAAAGAGGGACCTTTCTAAAACACAACCTGAATAAGCCACTCCCCTCTGGACACACTGCCCTCCCTGCCTCCACCATGAAGTTCTCCCAGCGGACGGGACCTGGGGGGCCCCGGCGCCAGAGCCGGCCTCGTCATAGCTGAACAACGCACGGGGGACCACATACCTCTCCTGAACCTCGGCTTCTCCCTCTGCAAAATGGGAGTAACAAATCCTACTTTGAAGAGTCACTGTGAAGACAAGAGACTGTCTGGCACGGTCCCCAGGACACAGAGGTGCTGGATGAACAGAAGCCACTCTTGGTGGAAGTGGGAGCGTGTTGTGGCATCCCCTCCCCCACTTCAGCCACATGCGGCCACTGAGAACGTCTCTCCGCGCCTTCGCACAGGCTGTTCCCTTCCCCACAGCCCCACGGTGCTGCCGCGCACGTGCCTCTATTCCGTAACTGTGAGCCAGGTGGCCGCTGGCTCCAGAAGGCCGGCAAGTGGCATCAGCCCACAGAGGGGAACAGGGCATGGTGGTGGTGAAGGAGGAGGGCTGCCTTTCGCCCTGGCCACCGACAGACAGCATGTCCTGGGCCCATCCTGTCCACAAGGGAGACTGCGGGCCTGCCAGGGCCCCAGTCGCAGAAAGAGGCCACGGCAGGAAGAACACACCAGGTGAGAGCCAAAATGACAGCATGAAGTAGAGTCTAAGTTACTCCTGATGCTGGAAAATGAACCCTCCCGCCTGCAATGACTCAAATCTGCACAAAACTGGAAAGAGCCGTGGCCAGCTAATGCCACACACTGCAGAATCTAGATTCCAGCTCCTGGCCAGGTCAGGGGCCCGGGGCCAGCTGGGGTGGCCGAGTCCACTTGCAGAGGCCAAGACAGGTTCTGCCAGACCCCGCCCAGAGTGTCTCCTCAGACATACCACGGGCTGCCATGCCCTTCAGGTCCAGAACCTCGAGGACCGATACAGTGTTGGCTAGTACATCTATGGCCCTGCTAGACTGGAAGGGTGGCTGGGTGCTAGATGATATTAGGGGATTGTTGCTAATTTTGTTAGGCATGATAGTGGCATAGTAGTTACATAACTATATTACTATATAAATGTTAACAAAATATATAAATGTAAACAAAATCCTTATCATTTGGAATTTCATATTGAAGTATTTGTAGGTGAAATGACACATCCAAGAATTGCCTTAACATACTGAAGATAAAAACTCCCATTACTGGGTATAGGAAGTGCTTGATGAAATAAGATCGAAGGTTGTTAAATTACTGCTGAGTGATGAGGGTCCGTTATGTTCTTTCTACATTTGTTTGTAATTGAATTTTCCATTAAAAAGGTTTTAATGGCCGGGTGCAGTGGCTCACGCCTGTAACCCTAGCACTCTGGGAGGCCGAGGCTGGAGGATTGCTAAAGGTCAGAAGCCAAAATGACAGCATGAAGTAGAGTCTAAGTTACTCCTGATGCTGGAAAATGAACCCTCCCGCCTGCAATGACTCAAATCTGCACAAAACTGGAAAGAGCCGTGGCCAGCTAATGCCACACACTGCAGAATCTAGATTCCAGCTCCTGGCCAGGTCAGGGGCCCGGGGCTCTGTGGCACCCACCGACCAGAGCCCTGGGTGGCCCAGATGGCACCGCTTCCGTCACAGCTGCCCCTGCAACGGCAGACGCAAGAGCAGGGACCGCTAGCTGCTTATCCCAGCACCCAGCGCCAGGTCTGCCCGGCAGGCCCTCCGTCAGCGTTTGTGGAGTGAGCACCGGCGTGGCAGGAGCCAGAGCACAGGGCTGGACGTCACCAGGGTCTGAAGACCCTCGTCACTGGGCAGGCCTGCAGGCGAGCCACCTGCTCTACTCTCGTGGAGTCTCAATGCGGTCAGAAGTAACATGTCCAAAAGGATTCATTTGTATGCAATTTTGGCAAAGAGTGTTCGAATAGGTGGGCCTATGAGGATTAACAATATTTTTTCCTTCTAAAATTCCATTTCGATCAGATGCTGGTCTGCTCCCCACCCCTCCAGAGCAAGTTTATTTAAAATAATTCAAAACTTACATGTTACATGCTGGCAAGGTTGCCTGAGTTAATGACTCTATAAACCTAAATCTATAGAATTTCAGTTCTGAACAAGATCATTCCACAACCATAAATGCTTTTGAAGGCATTTCTGTTAACATCAGTGAAACAGGCACTTGAAATTTTCAGCCAAGAAATCGCTAATATCTGCTAACATCAATAATGTCCTTGGCAGCCCCTAGAAATTTATGGCAGAGCTTCAGAAATACAAACAAAACAAAATAAAACTGGCTTTCTGACTTGAAAAGAAAAAGTCCTTGATACCTACTGAGCAACAACTCTTTGCAGAGATACTATCATCTTCACCTCTCTGTAACAGACAAGGAAGCTGAGCTAACTGACCAAGGTCACAGAGGAGGCTGTGACTTTGGATCCAGACAATCTGACTCATCATAAATTATACTATGTCATAAATTATCTACAGAACTGAGCTGTCCAGTGCAATAGCCACTAGCCACATGTGAGTCTTAAGTTAAAATTAAATTTAAAATTCAGTTCCTCATCATACCAGCCTCATTTGAAGCGCTCAACAGCCACCCACCGTGTCGGACAGCACAGATCTGGGACATTTCCATCACTGCTGAAAGCGACATTGGAGGGGCAGTGGTATAGAATATTATGGAGTACATTTTCTTTTCTTTTTTTTTTTTTTTTACAACCTCAAACTCTTGGGTGAAAGCGATCCTTCTGCCTCAGCCTCCCAAGTTGCTGGGACTACAGGCATATACCACCATGCCCGGCTGGTCTTGAACTCCAGAGCTCAAACGATCCACCTGCCTAGGCCTCCCAGAATGCTAGGATTACAGGTGTGAGCCACCGCACCTGGCTGAGTACAGTTTCTTTAGTAAAATCTCTTTACAAGGTTTTTTTATGCCCCAGAAAATTGTTTATGAGATACCGTTAAGAAAAGTAGAATCCAGGCTGGGCACGGTGGCTCACGCCTGTAATCCTAGCACTTTGGGAAGCTGAGGTGGGAGGATTGCTTGTGCTTAGGAGGTTGAAACCAGCCTGAGCAAGAGCAAGACCCCGTCTCTACTAGCCAAACAACTAAAAATAGAAAAAATTAGCCAGGCATGGTGGCACATGCCTGTAGTCCCAGCTACTCAGGAGGGTGAGGCAGGAGGATCACTTAAGACCAAGAGTTTGATGTTGCTGTGAGCTAGGCTGACGCCATGGCACTCTAGCCTGGGCAAGGGGAGAGACAGAGACAGAGACAGAGACAGAGACAGAGACAGAGACAGAGACAGAGAGAGAGAGAGAGAGAGAGAGAGAAAAGTAGAATCCCAAACCACACATGGGGGTATAGAGAGATTATATAGAGGGGTTATGTAGAGAGATTACATATAGGGGGTATATAGAGTATATAGATTATAGGGTATATAGATTATATAGGGTATATAAGGATTATAGGGTATATAGATTATATAGAGGGAATATATATGGGGGTATATAGAGATTTGTAGCACAGAGTTATTAATATGTGTAAATACTGTTACTGCTGACCCTTGAACAATGCGGGTTTGAACTGCGTTGGGTCACCTTATATGCAGATTTTCTTCATCCTCTGCCACATCCGAGGCAGCAAGTTCAACCCCTTCTCATCCTCCTCCTCCTCAGCCTACTCAACGTGAAGATGACGAGGATGAAGACCTTTATCGTAATCCACTTCCACTTAATGAGGAGTAAATATATTTTCTCTTCCTTAGGATTTTCTTAACATTTTCTTTTCTCTAGCTTACTTTATTATAAGAATGCAGTATAACAACACATATATAAAATATGTTTTTTGGTTTTTTTTGCCAATGTAATTTCTTTTTTTTTTTTATAAAATATGTTAATCAACGTTTATGTGATCCGTACGGCTTCAGGTCAACAGTAGGCTGTTAGTACTTCAGTTTTGGGGGAGTCAAAGGTTATACTCAGATTTCTGACCACCTGTGGGGGGGTTGGTGCCCTAACCCCCATGTTGTTCAAAGGTCAACTGTATTTTGTTTTATACTTTCATAAACTTTGCAGAATTTTTTAGAAGGAGAATAATTTATCTATTTTACTCTCCTAACCACGAAATAAAAAACCTCTGAGTGAAAGCCAAACGAGGGGCACTTACCCGCCCGATCTGCGGAAACATGCTAAAGGACACTGGCACCATCAGTCCCATCATCAGGATGGTGCAAGACAGCTTTGCAGGCCATAACGACCATGCATTTTTCAGGAAAAACTGGGTCCTGTAAGAGATAAGGCACAGCTTGTGGATGACGCTAAACTCTCAGGGACATTTCAGGGGTGGCCTTCTGTTCTCGGGCGGCAGGCCCCGCCCTGGCTCCCACTCAGCTCACCAACGGGCGATGATCGCAGCTGCACTACAGCTGCACTGACCCAGTGCTCGGTCTGCATCGGGCGCGGGGTTCAACACGTCACCTGCATTTGCTCACCTGAGTCCCCCCCCCAAGCCTACGAGCTTTGTGCCATCATCGTCATCCCCTACGTATAAAGGAGAACAGAGGTACAGACTTGTGAAGTTGGGGACATACTCAAAATCCCATAGCCCAAAATGACAGGTCAGATTCTAGAGCTGGTGCTCTTGACCTAGGCTATCCTGACACGGATGTGACGTTCTGACCTTAACCTTTGGAGAGCAAAAGAGACAACAATGGGGGTCTGGCTGAAGCTCTACTACTGACAGACCCTGTGCCCTTGGGGGAGCCACTTTCCCCCAAGGAGCCTGGGGGTTTTTTCAGATGCAAAATGAGGGCACTGAGTTAGAGGACCCACCAAGGTCACTCCAGCTTGGATACTGTCTGCTGTCCCGGCTCTGGCATGGTGTTTCTGGGAGCTCACTTGATGGCTACATCCTTTGAAGCACCCCACGCTCTCAGGGAAACGAGGACCATCTCGCCCCACAAGGCAGCCTGTGCTGTTCGTGGAGGAGCAGCTCCGACTTCAAGTCCTGCCAGAGCAGCCCGGGAAGCCCCTGACGGAGCAGAATCTCTGCACCCAGCCCGCCGGGTCACCCGTGGGAAAGAACAGTGGGCTCTGCCCAGGCCCCGGCCCTGCTTCCTGGAAATGTGCTCCATGTGCGGTTCTAGAGGCGGCTTCCTGGACTCACCACGCTGGGGGAGCAGGAACGGCACATGACCCGACTCGGGCCGATAGATTCCTTCCCTGGGAGTCTCTGAACTGAAGGGACGACACTCCGGCCTCCCCGGGGGCCGGCTGTGTTTATCTCTGGTCGGGAGGCTGTGAGGACAGGAGCTGGGAGTTTCCAGCAGCTGGGGCCCTGCTCAACGTGAGGAAGCCAGCCTGACAGGAGAGAGGAAGCCAAGATCCACGAGGGAGAGGAAGACAGCGTCCCGCAGCGGAGCTTCCGTTCCAGCGGCTGCAGGCCACGCTCCTCGCCTGCGCGGTACCCAAGCCGCCTCCCTCGGGCCGAGCTGACCCGCTGCAGTTCTCATGCCCGCCACCGCAGCAGCCGACTGATGCCCCGGCCCAGCGCCTCACAGGCCATTTCTTGCTTCACAAAAGGGCTGACAGTCTACTGAATCTGGGGCCACTTAAGCCAATTTAAAACACGCTCAGAACGGGGCGGGAAGAAGGCTTGAGCAACATGCACAGCACATGGAAGCTGGGAGAACCTGCAACCCATCCAAACCCATCATTCTAGAAGTGAGGAAACGTGACCCGGCAGGTCCTTGGACATGCCAAGGGCAGAGCTGGCCGAGGACAGAGCCTGGGCTGGCGTCCAGGTTTGACGGAACACGTAGGACGGCACTGCCACGCCTGCCCCAAATCAACCCTACTGTCGGAACCGTGGCGACCTCTTCCCGCCCCTCCCAGCAGGGTCAGGGTCTGACAAGTTTTATAAGGACTTTGACTGTCAAAATGTTTATTGCTACCCGGGGAGAGGAGTGTTCCTCTTACCTTTTGAAAAAGTAGGTGAAGACTTCAGGAACGAGAGAAGAGGTCCCAAACAGCACCGCCCTGGATACAGCTGTTTCCCGGACGGCCTAGTGCAGACGAGAGGAGAGCTTAGCACGTGGCACAGGACGATTTCCAGGGACCCCGCAACTCATGCCAGAGACAGGCCAACAGCAACTCCCCTTTCTCACTTAGAAAAATAACACACGCGGAAACAGGTGGCGTTCACACCTCGCATAGGCCCTTCCAGGTGCAGGTGTGTGGAGTCGGCTGGGGCTGGTACCTCCCCCTGACCGCACGATGGCCTCTATCAGTCTGCCGAACCACCCGAATAAACTACCCACTAAGTACAAGCAAAGGAAGCCTCTAGACAAATCCTCACTTAGAACCCAACGGCAGCCTCCTTGGTGGAAACGCTGGATTTGCCATTGAGGTTCGTCACGTATTTTCCTTTCAACCCAGGACTCTGCCACTGGCCTCCCATCCCGAACCTGCCTCCCACTGATCCCTGCATGGAGGAATCCTCCAGAAGCCCAGCTCCAAGTACAACAGCGTGACATCACACCCACACGGCCACCTGTCCGTACCCATCCTTCGCTCGTGTAATCAAAAGTGCTGTTCTGTAAAATTTTATTTTGCAGATATCTGTATCTACAGTTTGTAGTATTTTGTCATCTCTTCTATAATGTACATTACTCCATATGTTGAACATTAAACTCCATTATATTAAACATTTAAACACATAATTTACTGTACAGGTTGTATGCACAAAACTATGTGTCTTCGAGGGCACTTTAAAGGACTTTTAAGGGAAAAAATTTTTTTTTTAACCCTAGGAATCCTACAGTCAGATAAAGGAAATCGTGGCTGTAAAATGGCTCACACGTTAGCTTTAGAGCCCAGGGCCTGGGTAAGATGTAAGTCCACACCCCCAGCCCCACCCTTCCCTGAGCTCCCCTCCCTCTGCTTCGAGCTTCCCGTGGCTTGGCCACGACCTTCCCGGGCTCCTGAGCTGCGCAGGCCCTGCTCTCTGCTCACGCCTCTGCCCGACCGACCGCGCCACACGTGCTCCGCGGGGAATGTCTTTGCCCACGCAGGACAGAGGAAGCTGGGGAGGGTTGTTTTAAAAATCAGGTTTCAGGAATATAAAGTAAAATCGCTCAACGTCAGGACGAAAGCGGCCGCCGTTTCCACGACAGTGGGGCGAGCCTGCCTCTCTCCGTTTGTCAAATGGTCCAGACAGGACACCTGTCATTAGGAGGCACTGTCTGCGACTGAGTGGCTTACGGGGCCAGTTGGGGAAAAACACCATCAACTAGTCGCCTGAAATCTGATCAAAGGTGCCCTATTACAATCAGATATTGCTGGTTACGCAGTTTCTGAAACTTTAGCCAAAGAAAATAAACCTTCCAGTGACAGGGAAATGATAGAAGAATGCTCATGCTTACGCACAGTCGCAGACACTATTCTTTAGAGAAAGATAAACATTTTTTTTTTTTTAAAGCAGGTCATTAAGCCTTTTCTTTTACGGTAACCTGCTCTCGTGCAAAGAAGTTCCCCTGGTGAGAGGGGCTCCAGACAGACAGCTGGGAGGCTGGCGCTCCCGGGGACAGGCGGCTCTCGCTCATCGGGGTTTGGGTCTCCAGAGCCTAGCAGGTGCCTGGCAGGCAGGAGGTGCTTGGGGACAACTTGCTGATTAGACATTTGCTGTCACTCTCCTCCCCAGCTTTACGAGAAGTTCATGGCAATACTCACACCATGAGTTGAGGAGAAATGCAAACACGTGTCTGCACAAAAAGGTGCCAGTGAAGGTTCAGAGCAACGTTACTCATGATGGCCAAGAACTGCACCCAACCCAAGTGTCCCTCGCCTGGGGAGTGGACGAGCAAAACGGTGCATCCGTACAACCGAACACCACTCAGCAGTGAAAGGGAGCACGCCGCTGACACATGGCACCACACAGATGAAAGCCAAAGGTGAAAGAAGCCAGGCACAGAAAACTATCGTGTGATTCACTTATGTGAAACTGCTAGAAAAGGCAAAACTAGGAGGACATAAGCCGATCAGTGTCTCCCTGGACCTGGGGCTGGAAGCAGGAGCCATGCAGGAAATTTTTAGGGTGAAGAAAATGCAATGCCCATGAATATGTTCTGCAACTGGATAGTTGTGATGGTCGCACAAATGTTTTAAGTTGACTAAAATTCATCAAACTACACTCTTACAATGGGTGAATTTTATAGCATGTAAATTACACCTCAATAAAGCTGTTTTTTAAAAAAGTCTCTTCCTTTCTGCGATAGGCAGAATAAAAAAATAAATAAGTAAAAAAAAGTCTCTTTAGGGTGGTAGTTTCTTAGGCCCAGAACCTTCGTTTCAAATTCAAGACGTATTTTCTTTCTGGCAGCAATTTCTCTCCTTCTTACTTACGATTATTGTGTCCCTGTTGTAACTCATTTAGAAAAGGGGCCAAGCTACTAGATGGCCCAGTAGAAATACTGTAGCACGTATCTGATGGTTTACAATCCAGCTTCGGCAATCATCGGTAGGATTTAGAGTAATATGTTCCATGACCCAAATGATGACGTATTTATCGAAAAGAATGAACAGCCACTTTTCTGGCCTCCTCTTCTGCCAACATGCCGGCCAGCAGAAGGACGTCTGGCTGGCAAGGGGGTCCCCGCGTGTGCTGACACTGGGAGACACCCAGTCCGTCCCTTCCCTCGGTGGCAGGAGCTGTCCCACGCTGCCTTCTACGCCACCTGCAACAACTGCCTCACGTCGTGACTCCTCAGCTAAAGTCATCTCACACACAGCAAAAAAGATCTCACCTGCTAAAAACATGTTACTTAAAAGTCCACACCCAAAATGAAACTCCCAGAGACTACAGCAGGTTCTTGGTTGAATATACACAGAAACCACTGTGTTGCTTTCAGCAAAAAAAAAAAAAAATATATATATATATATTTCATAGTAAAAATTATTTAAATTTGAGGCCTTTATAAAGAGTTTTAGATCAGAGCATTGGATTTCCTAAATCCATCCTTGGTCCTTAACGTCACAGACTATAAGAAAATCTGCTGAGGCGGAAGACAGAGGCTTCTCTTACCCACCCCCAGAGAGAGAGGGTCCCCTGGCCTCTGTGAGTGCAGAGCAGGCTGGGAGGGGAGTGGGCCCCAGGAGGGATCCCCAACCAAACACTGGGAGAGCAGATGTTGAGCTTGAAGAATGAGATCTCACACTCGGGAGCCCAGCACTTGCTCGACACCCTCTGTCGTGGTCAGCCTCATGGGTCATCTGGCGACAGTGCCAGATATTCAATCAAGCGCACTCTAGGTGTTGCTGTGAGGCATCCTGCGGACATGGTCACCATCTACAGCCAGCCGGCCAGGTAAAGGAGATCACCCTCCACCATGTGGACCGGCCTCATCCAGTTAGGAAGTTGTAGGAGCAAAACCTGAGGGTCCCCAAAGACGAAATCCGGCCACAGGCTGCAGCACCGACTCCTGCCTGAGTCTCCAGACTGCTGCCTGCCCTGCGACTCCCAACTCACCGGCCGCACAATCGTGCAAGCCGAGTCATCAAAATAAACCCCTTAATAGGTACGTCCATACACCCTATTGGTTCTGTGTCTCTGGAGAACCCAGGCTCATGCCCCATCTTTCACACATCAGGGGACAAAACGCAAAATCCGTCAGCATGCCGAGGGAGGACGGGGTGAGGAAGGATTGAAGGCAGATGTGAATTTGTCACCGGCTCTCAAATAGAAACGTCAATTCTTTGCCCAAAGGGCAAGCAGCTAGAGCTCCACCGTGTCCCTTACCTTTCTCCCGGCTCTTCTGGAATGGCCTATGACATTGCCTTCTTTGTCCATGACCTCAATCCCTCGAACGGGCTCAAAACCCCGGGACGCAAAGATGTTCATGGCGCTGACGTGGGCTGCAGGTGGAAAGACAAGAGGAGGATGCCGCAGAGGGTTGTGGGTTTCTGTCCACTTCAAGCCTCTTTCTCTGAGGGCTGCCCTTTTCCTGACCCTAGGGTGGTCACCTGCCACAGGCTGGGCCAACCAAGTGCTCGCCTGGGGCAGTGCAGAAGGCTCAGAAAAGCTCCCACTTGGTCATGGGTCCAGTTTCCAGCACCCTTGAGGCCCAGCCCAACTCCCAGACAGGATTCCAGAAGAAACCCCAGGATCCTTGAAACACACCCCGAGTCTCTGCTTAAGCTGGGTGGACCAGGTTTCTGTAACAAAAGAATAATTTCCCCTCTAAAGTAGACCTGCCGACTCTTCAAGCTGCTCTGATTCCTAGACCCAAATTTGGAGCTTGCAGGTTGGCAATCTCAAAATATTCAGCTAATATTTCTGCCACTCTGCCTGGAGGCTGACTGCCGGGCTGGATCCCTGCGCTACCGCTTTCTCGCTGTGCAACTCTGGGCAAGTTAATTAACATCCCTGTGCCTCCTTCTCCTCATCTGCACGTGGGAATACTACTACTTCCTCCCATTAAGTTGTTGTCAGGATTAAGTGAACTCATGCACATAGAGCGTTTATACTGATAGTCTTTAAAATATAAGTTAGGTTTCCAGGCTTGTGTTCGTCCTTTGGCAATTAATGGAGTATCTACAGAAAGTGTCACCTCTCAAACCAAAGATCTAATTTGGGCTTGGGAGTGGGGGTGCCCAGCAGGCTGCAAATGGTTCCTATCATCTGTCCCAACATGGCCAAGGGACCCAGCTATCTCTGGAGACAGGGGAAGGCTCGAAGACCACAAAGACAAGCCCCAGACCGCATGCTTCCAGCCCTCCCTGCTCACCGAGAATGGCGACAGGTAAGGCTCTTTTGATCAAAGGGTTATCCAGGGAATATTTCATTTGGACCAAATAAGGAATGAGCTAGAAAACAAGAAAGAAACATTATTATTGCATGGGACCAAAAACAAGCTGCACGTACTCAACAGCAGAGAGCTCACACTGGCCGAGTGCCTGTCACAGGCCGCACCGTTGCCAACGCTCTCCATGTATTTTTGTGTTTTAATTCTTACGACGTTGAGGTGCTCTCCCTGCTCAGCTGAGAAGTAAACAGGGGCTTTGGGAGGTTATGTAAATTTGTCCAGAGTCACGGAGTCATTAAGGGTTTAAGCCAGGATGGGAACCCGGGCTTGTCTGACGCTAAAGTCTCCACTTTCAACAATAACTGTGTCCTGACATCAGAAGCAATACATAATCACGTAACACGTATAGCATAAATTAATTCTTTAAAAGATATCAGTACTGAGTACATGCCTAGAAACTTAGAATATTTAGGTGATTATTTTGGGGTGATAGGATTACAGGTGACTTATTTCCAATTCATACGTTCTAAATTGTTTAAGTTGGAACATAAATTTGTAATCAGAATAAAGTTTTGTTTTTTGTTTTGAGACAGAGCCTCACTTTGTTGCCCAGGCTAGAGTGAGTGCCGTGGCGTCAGCCTAGCTCACAGCAACCTCAATCTCCTGGGCTCAAGGGATCCTCCTGCCTCAGCCTCCCGAGTAGCTGGGACTACAGGCATGTGCCACCATGCCCGACTAATTTTTTGTATATATAGTTTTAGTTGGTCAATTAATTTCTTTCTATTTTTAGTAGAGACGGGGTCTCGCTCAGGGTGGTTTCGAACTCCTGACCTCGAGCAATCTGCTTGCCTCGGCCTCCCAGAGTGCTAGGATTACAGGCCTGAGCCACCGCGCCCAGCCAATGATTCCAGGGAATAAAGAAGATTTGACAGATATTAAAAATACTTACCCCAAAGAAGGTTGAAGAAAAAATTACTCCTGCCCCTAGCATCATACTTTCTGGCATATGACGACTCTAAGGAAAAAGAAAAGCACACATTTAGCAAATATCACGGTTTTACAGAGCAAGGATAATTAAGGAATAATATGACAGAACACTGCATACCATCTGGGTCTCAGAATACTCACGTAACTCTGGTTGCCGTTGATGACGTTGAATGCCGTCGTGTAAGCATGCAAGGAAACCTGCAGGAGGGGCAGATGGGGCATGCTCTGGTTTCAAGCATAACAGAATTCAGCAGTCATGAGACAGAAATAATTGTTACCTGAGGTAAAACAACGGACATCATTCCTTTTGCTGGTATCATAGACAAAAATACCTTTTAAGGAGAAAGCAGAGCAGAGTTACAAGTGCTTTGGGGGAGGGAGGGCTTTCAGGAGCAAAGAACTTTCCAGGGGGGAGGTAGGAGTGAGCCCCCTGGGAGCTGGGGCAGGACAAGAAGGTGGCAGGTGCAGGGGCTGCCATGCACAAGACAAGCCAAGGTGGAGGGAGCCCCTGCCAGGCCCTGAACTGGCAGCTCTGAGGACACGCAGGAGCTCAGTGGGCCGTGTCTCCAAGGCCTGCAGTCCCCCAGGGCAGCCAAGGGGTAGGCACTTGCCAGGGGAGACAGACACGGGCCAGCGAGGTGGGCAAAAAGCACATCTGAGAGCCAAGGTGGGACGGCCTCACTGGGGGGCAACTCCAGGTCCCCGATGAGGGGCTGTATCGAGGGAGGACTCGGGGAGAGAAGGAAACAGATAATTACATGGGGCTTGCACGAAGCACCTGCTAACTCCCTGACCTCATCTACAGAGCTTTGGGCATACAGGCCGAGGATCCCTCATCCAAAATGCTTGGGACCAGAAGTGTTTCAGATGTTGAAATGTTTGGGTTTTTTGTTTGTTTTTTTTTACTGAGTGAGTCTGTGGAATTTTTTTTTTATTTTATTTTGAATTATTTGCTTCTACATAATGTGATATCTTGGGAGGAGGCTCAAGTCTAAACACAAAATTCATTTATGTTTTGTATATACCTCATACATATAACCTGAAGGTAATTTATACAACATTTTTAATAATTTTGTACACAAAACAAAGCTTTGACTGCCATGGAATTCTCTACTTACGGCGTCATGTCAGTACTCAAACAACGTTTGGATTTTAGAGCATTTTGGATTTTTGGATTAGCGATGCTCAACCTGTGGTAGGTGTCCAAAAAAAAGGATGACCTTGTGACACTGTGGACCTTCGAGAGGTCACCAACCGGGTAAGTGGGGTGAGGAGTGGGGGCTGGAGGAGTGGACATATACATGAACAGCAGCCAAGGGTCACAGGTGGGGGCCCAGGCTCATCTATCAGGCAGTCATGGGACACGGGTCCAGAGCTGGGGGGACACCGCTGAGGTTAGGAGACAGGTGGGCATCTTCCCAATGCCCTGGTCGCCTAGCAGTGGGCGGCAGCGTACTCACCGAGGGCATCGTGAGAGGCAGGAAGGCTGGCAGGGGAGAGAAGAGCCGTCAGCGCCTGCAGCTGCCCAGGCAGGGGGCAGGAAGGGCGCCCCCCACCGCAAAGCCACTTCCCCGGCCTCCTGAAGGCCCAGACCTCAAAGGACACTTTTCACTCATTCTTTTTTTCCTAATAAAAAGATGAACCCTGCGCACAAAATTACTATCACTACGTGCACAAAGTCAAAACATCAAAAAATGGGCAAAGGACGTGAACAGAAACTTCTCAAAGAAGACAGGAAGAATGGCCAACAAACATATGAAAAAATTGTTCAACATCTCTAATCATCAGGGAAATGCAAATCAAAACCACAATGAGATATCACTTAACTCCAGTGAGAATGGCCTTTATCAAAAAGTCCCCAAACAACAAATGCTGGCATGGTTGCGGAGAGAGAGGAACACTCCTACACTGCTGGTGGGACTGCAAACTAGTTCAACCTCTGTGGAAAGCAATATGGAGATACCTCAAAGCGATACGAGTAGATCCACTACTGGGCATCTACCCAAAAGATCAAAAGTCACTTTATGAAAAAGACACCTGCACTCGAATGTTTATAGCAGCACAATTCACAATTGCAAAGCTATGGAAACAACCCAAGTGCCCATCAATTCATGAGTGGATTAATAAAATGTGGTATATGTATACCATGGAGTACTACTCAGCTTTAAGAAACAATGGTGATAAAGCACCTCTTTATTATTCCTGGATACAGCTGGAACCCATTCTACTAAGTGAAGTATCTCAAGAATGGAAAGACCAGCACCACATGTACTCACCAGCAAATTGGTATCAACACCTAAATGGACATATAGGAGTAACATCTATCGGGTGTCGGGAGGGTGGGAGGGGTAGGGAGGGGATGGGTATGTACAACCACAATGAGCAAGATGTGCAACATTTGGGGGATAGACATGCTTAAAGCTCTTAATCGAGGAGGGAGGGGGGCATGGGCAATATATGTAACCTTAACACTTGTACCTCCATAATACGCTAAGATAAAAAAAATAAAAATTAAACAAACAAACAAACAAAAAGTCAAAACAGCACAGTGTACAGAGAGACCTAACATAAGGCCTCTCCCCACAGCAGGCAGGCGTGTTCATCAACACGCGTTCGCCCGTCCAGATGAACCGTTCAACATGTCCGGCAGGACAGACACAAACTCTCTCACATCACACGGCCCTTAATTATCCACACATGCCACCACACGCTGTTGTATGCTTTGCACTTTTTCCCTGAATACTAATTCCCGGAGATCTACCTTTCCATGTCAGCATTGAGGACTCACCTCATTCCGTTTTTTTGGGGGGTTTTTTGGTCTGTGTTCCATCTACCATCCTAATTCTGTTTAACGAATTATTTAGAGTCTGAATTGTTGGATATTTATGTTGTTTCCAGTGTCTTGTTTATAATATGTGCAGAATTATAACTGGAAGGATCATGGATTTTATTCCCCTCATCTTAGATATGGTGAAAATGAGAGAGAATACTAATTGGTTTCCTTAATACTAGCGCTTATGAGCTACAAGTTCTGGGACCAGGAAATAATCGTTATGTTCACGGGGTGTGATAGAGCAGGTCTGTCCCCTCACCCCCAAAGCCCAGATCTTTCCACAGCTCCGGACACTGCTCTGGGCCCTGGGCCTGCTCTTCTCCACCAAAAACCCTGGACCCCACAAGCATTCTTTATAAGCTGTGGTGTCAGACTCGGCGTCAGAAATCCTGCTAGGGGGAAAAAAATTAAAATAAGACAGGCAGCACTCACTCTAGCCTGGGCAACAAAGTGAGACTCTGTCTCAAAGAAAACAAAAAAAGACAGGCAGAGATCTCTCAGTGTTACAAACCACGTCTTCTCAATCTGCTTCTGAAAATCAGAACCAACTCACCTGCAGGTCGAAAGAGAGTGGGGATCGGTCTGCCGCTGTCGGGATGCACTGTTGACTTAGAGGGGAGACGGGAAGGTTAGCTAGATGTTTGGTTTTGTTATTTTCGGAGGCCAAAAATTAGGAAGGGGCTGAAACTTACAAGACTCGTTTTCCAAGCTTCTTGTATCTAAAAATGAAAAAACAAAAACAATGAAGCAATAGCTTTTAAAGGTGGCTCAGCAGCCAAGAACCTTGCCAGTCCCATTTCTGGGGTCATCTGTACCCTGCCTTTCAGAGACTGAAGGCCAGAGCTGTTTTCTACCACATGGATGAAACAAATCAAAACGAATGAATCAAACAAACTAACAACTATCTTGTCTCTAACCTTGGAGAGGACTAACACCTAACTTATCCCACAGGTGAGTTCCTTGCCCCTGCCCGGAGCAGGCTGTATGCAGATGATGCCACTATGCCATGAACCAGGTGGCCTGTGACACAGTCAAGCTGTCAGCCCAGAGGCCCCAACAAGTTCTTAGAAAAACCAAGTTAAACACACAAGCTTTCCACAGTTTGCCTTGTGGGACTGGTGGCTGTGAGCTAGCAAAAGCTCTGCACGCTGCAAGGCAGATAAGGAGAACTGAGTTTGAGCCCGTGGGCAGGAACGCCTGCTGGAACGGAAAATAGATTCTGACTTCAGAGACCTGCCTAAATTCTGGAGTTTGCGAAGGGGCTCCAGGAATCAACTACAGAGAATTCCCACTAGTATCCATGAGGAACACTGCTCTGTCTGGTTTATGGGATGGAGTTCTAACTACATTTAAAAAACTAACCCAGTTTTGAAAAGCTGGTCTCCTGGGTGGTGTATAACGACGACAAAATTAACCACCAAAATTCCACCTGATTTCAGACCAAGCAGGCAGAAACATGTGAAGGCAACTACGCCCGGTCTTGAACCAGGCACACCTGAGCACACAAGACATACCGTTTGGTCCTCCAAGGCGTGTCTGGATGCATCCTCATTGGTGAACAACAGCTGCCTTGCTTCTTCTATTTTTTCCTATCATTAGAAACCAAGAAATCAAGCAATGATCTCAACACTGTTCATATTTATCCACGGATTTAGGAGCTCAGAAGCTCACTCACCAGCGTACAATCAATGTATTTCAAATGCACACCTGATTTCAATGCCACATGGAGCCTTACATATCTACTCCCTGGGAGGTTCCATAAGGACAGTCCTCGGTGTCATTCAGATGTAGGCCTCCCGCCTCCTAGACAGCCCCAAGAGCCTCCCCCCGGGTGCTGCCACACACACCCTCTATTTATCCCCTTACAATCTAACAAGCTCATTTGGAAGGAATAAAAACAAAATAATATATAGATTCTGTTACCTCAACTGCTTGTAAAAGGAACACATGGTTTTCAAGTTTGAAAATAAAACGTGAAATTCATTATTTCCGAAAAATAAGAAAATACTTACAGCTGAAACTAACAAATTCAAAGGATCTAACAGTTCTGTCCATTGAAGAAATCGTTGAACAAAAGACTTAGGAGAGAGAAAAGCATTAGAAGGTTAACAACAGTAGAAAACCAAAGATACATGGTAATAGTGACCGTTGACACTTTCTTGGAGAAACTACCAGGGCCCTGTCCTGTGATCTGCCCTTAACCAGCACCACCTCCTGGGGACCTTAAACTCCCCCATTTCACAGGTGAGGGAGCTGAGGCTTAGACGTGCTGGTGGGTGTGATGAGCTCAGGGCAACACTGCCAGGAAATGGCTCAGCAGCAGTCTGAGCTCTTCACTCCTCAACAGCAAATTGCTCCTGAGGGTTAAAAGTCCAGATTTTGGGGTTTGAATGGGTCTATGTTCATAGCCTTCACATGACCTTGAAGCAATGACCTGGAAAGGTCTCTGAATCGTTTCCTGACTCTCAGGGTGTGGTAAGGCCGAACTCCAGCAATATGGAATTGGACAGCCCAATAGGACTCAATAAATCCATCTGGGTTCCCACGTGCAGAAAGCAGGCATGGCTTGCTCCAATAAGCCCCAAGCTTTGCAGTGGTTCTGGCTTTAAATCCTGGCTCTTGCCCCTTACTATGTTGAAATAGTAATATTTTGCACCTGCTGGGTGAAACGTACTCTATTAAAATTAATTTCAGCTGTTTCTTTTTACTTTTTAATGTGGCTACTAGAAAAATTTTAAATTACCCAGATGACTGACATCATATTCCTATTGGACAGCTTTGCCCTAGACGCTGCAAGGAGGTGAGGCCTGCGTTACTTCCTGTGGAAGGTGGATTCCCAAAGCCTCAGGGTCTCACCGCAGTGACTGCGTCTATCAAGGCGGCAAAACCTGTTTCTCTCCCATCTCCTGCTCAGCCACAGCTTAGGCAGCAGAGGACTAGACTCCTCCGGAAGATCTGCGCAGTGACCTTGTGGCCACCAGCAAGCTTGGATTTCCCCTCCCACCCCCTTGCGGCCTGGCTGGGAACGCGGGTGGTGCGCGGCCCCAAGCCCGACTCCGGGACGAGGAAAGGGAGGCGCGGGGCGACCACGTGGCCTGCCCAATGTCACCCGGCCTGATCCACGCTGCGCGGCCCACGCCCTCCCCGCCCCCAGCCGCGGGGCCCGGGCCGTACTTGGCGTTGGGCGATCCAGAAGCGCACGTTGGGCTCCATGCGGGCGGCCGCACCCCTCACCCAGGCAGCCGCCCGGGCCTGCGCTTCCTCCTTCCCGGGACCTACGAGGTGTCTGGAGCGGCCCCGCCGCCAGGCCGGGCGCGGAGGAGGAGCCGGCTTGGTGCCCGCCCCGGGCCGCGCGCGCCCGATCCCGCCCCGAGTCGCCGCGCGCCCGCTGTCCTGGCGAGCAAAGTCCTCCCTGCTCTGCTCCCGCATCGCAGCACCTGCTGCCAGGACCCTGTGGGCGCCCCGCAACCTCGCCCCGTGGCCGTGACCCTCGCAGATGCCTTCAGTTGGCCATGAAGTCCGGTGCGCACGGTATTGGGCGTAGTCCGGGCCGGCTGCGTAATTTGCGCAGCCGGGTGAAAATTGAATGTGAGGCACAGTCTGTTCAAAAATTGCGGATTTTCTGCCGGATACAAAGGCCAGTCGATGGCCGCAATAAGAAAAAAAAAATGTAATTAAAAAAAACAAACAAAACAAAACAAAAATTGTGGATTTCAAAAAGGCAACAGAGCATTAGTCCAAGCCTGGGGTCCCGAACACAGCGCACTATCCCTCAGCACGACAGTTTTTTCCCAGTGTTGGGGCAAGTCGTTTCTTTATTGAATACATGCATTGCCCTCCTCCTCCCACCCGCTTCCCCCAGCACCAGGGTGGGGAGTCGGTTGTGTGTTTGCACTTGAATTCGTGGAAGCCAGAAGTGTGTTTAGCGTGTCCAGGGGCCCTGCAGAGGCCTGGGCTGGGGGACCCAGCACACCATTTAGTTGTGTGACCCTGGTCAAGTCAGTATCTCAAAGTCTATACTTCTCATCTGTAGAAGGATAAGAATTGTACCTATCTCAGGGTTTTGTTTGGATTAAAAGATCTAAACATGTAAATGCCCTAACACAGCCACTTGGCCCAGTGGATTAGCACCCAGCTGGCCAATCTCCTCCCTTGCCTTGCCCCTCCAGGAACAGGAAACCAGCACATAGTTTTCTTCAGGCCTGGGTGACTTAGTTCCTACATTTGCTCAGCTCACCTAGTTCACTTTTCCGTAAACTTTGAGTCCATCTCTTCTAGGAAGCCTTCCCTGACTTCCATAACTGAGTAAGATGCCCCCTGCTGTGTTCGCACTATGCCCCAGAAATCCATCTGGGGCACCACAGTATTTAGCAGAATGTATTATGTGGTTCAATCCTGAAGTATGTCACACAGTCAGCCCAGCTGGCCTCTGCTTCCCCACTTTGGACCCCAACAGTCCAGTCTCAAAAGGAGCCAGAGTGATCTTAGAACAAGTTGATGTCACTCTTCTTTTCAAAACCTTCCTGATGTTTCCCAACCCAGAACAGAGCCCAGTCCTTAGCGTGCCCACAAGGCATTCTGGACGCCCCCATGGCCGTCCTCCTCCTTCACTACTGCAGTCACATGGCCTCCTTGCAGTTCTCCATCTACCCCAAGCCCACTTCAGCCTCAGGCCCTTTGCACTTGCCATGCCCTCTGCATGGTTTCTTATCCCTCTAATTCCCTCACTTTCTACATGTTTTCTTTTATTTGGACCTCATCAAAACCCTAAAATAGGTACAACTGTCCTCATTTTACAGATGAGAAAATAGACCCAGAGGGACTTTCCCTTAAGGCTCTCCTTGACAGCCCTATCTAGAATAACACCTACAACTCTCTGCTCCTGCCGCCCCCCCCCTTACTTTCTTTCCAAATGCTCTTATGTATTTTATTGTGCTTCCCTTCTAGAATATGAGCATAAAGACAGGGGCTTGACTTTTTCTGTTTGCTCTTATACCTCCTGAACAGCACACGGCACGTGGTAAGCACTCAAGGATTTACTGAATAATGACTATTTCTGTATCTGTCTTCCCCCTAAACTTCGTTCCTTGAGTGTGGAGGCAGCATCGTATTCATCTTTGTGGCCCATCTTTGTGGTCAATGCCCCATAAATGTCCGTTGATACAATCAGAGAAGGAAAAGCAGAGCCCCAGAATAAGCTGATTCAAGTTAATGGTTTCAAAATGCAAGTATTTTAAAATATGTTTATTTTTTCATATATTTTATAATGAACACTTCAAGAAAGAAAATAATCATAATAATTTCAAAATGCAATCCCTGGATTGAATAAATATCCTTTATAATTATACCTAATCAATGCCTGGAAACATGTAGACACTAAGTTAGCTAATGAATACAATCAGTAAAAGGACTATGTAAACTCTAAATCTCAGGGATGAGGACCATGCATGATCAGTTAAGTCACGTTGCCGTGCTTTTTTATAACATGATTCACATTTTCTTCAATCACACATACATCCATTGGGAGATGTTAAGTTAGACTGCTGATGCTAACAACTTAAAACTGTGATCCTTGTTACCTTAAAAGAAGATTCAGTGTAATACAAAGAAATTTAAAAACAAAATTTCAGGACCCTTGATCAGAGGCTTTTGATACTTGTTGTACTACTTTGGTGTAGACAAAGGTTTAAATAAGGCCAAGCAAAAAGAGTGTTTCTTTTACCCTTTGAAGACATGATCTAAGAAATAGGTGAACAAGGCATTCTGTAGAAACTAGCTAGCTAGCCATCAAGATGTTACCAATAAAGAACTCTTTATAATACTAATAACTAACCACATTTAAAAAGTCTTAGCCAGTGTTACAAAAACAAAAGAGTAGTATTTATGAATATAAGCATAATTGATTCTTTGCCTTCTACAAACAATCATCTCTTAAATGCTAAAAGCAGGTTCCAACTGTGGTTCTTCTCTGGTGTGAGAAGCTGCAGGTACACATGGGGCGATCTACTGGTTTACCTTCTCAAAGTACTCTTTGGAAGCAGTTGGATTTGGCTTGATCTGGAAATACAAAAACATTTAATTGGGTAACTGAGTTTATGATAACAGTCTCAAAGTGAATTGAAAGCTACCAATTTTCAACCTAAAATTCTTTAAATTTTTCAAGATTGGTCTGTTTCCTTTAAAACACGTGGGAGAAAGTTACATTAACAGCCTGTGCAGGTTCCTGGCACCCCACCCCACCCCACCCCTTCTACCCACCAGCAGCTTCACCCATTTGCACAGTGTCTATATCCCTGCTTCAAGGGCAGGCTCCCTTTTGTGGATATTCCTGGCCAACAGCCCTTGAGGCAGAAAGGACCTGGGCCACTGCTAGGATCCCTCTGCTTTGGGGGAAAAAAACCTACTGTAGGAGAATCCGGTGTCCAGTTTGCTGGGCAGACTTCTCCATGAATTTCCACAAACTGGAATGCCTTCACCAAGCGGAGGGTCTCTTCCACACTGCGGCCCACTGGGAGGTCGTTGACACTCAGATGTTTGATGACACCATTGGGGTCAATTATGAAGAGACCTCTGCATCAGAATTTATCCCCATTAGCACCTCAACAGCGCCAGAACTAGAAACAGTCTAACTCCTGCCCTGGTATGTCTTTAGTTCTCCTTTTTTTTGAGACAGAGTCACGCTTTGTTGCCCAGGCTAGAGTGAGTGCCATGATGTCAGCCTAGCTCACAGCAACCTCAAACTCCTGGGCTCAAGCAATCCTGCTGCCTCAGCCTCCCGAGTAGCTGGGACTACAGGCATGCGCCACTATGTCTGGCTAATTATTTCTATATATATCTTAGTTGGCCAATTAATTTCTTTCTATTTATAGTAGAGACGGGGTCTCACTCTTGCTCAGGCTGGTTTCGAACTCCTGACCTCGAGCAATCCTCCCACCTCGGCCTCCCAGAGTGCTAGGATTACAGGCGTGAGCCACCGCACCCAGCCTTTAGTTCTCCTTTTAATAAAATTTAAGAAGCTCTATAATATGCTTTAAAATGGGATTTTCATTGTTGTACAGAAAGCTTACAATCTTAATGATGACAGATGCTTTAATAAAGGCAAGAGGACTAGACCAGGTAACCATTGAAAACATGCAATATGGTCACATTTACAAATTCAAAATTGTGCCCTCAACTTGTGCCACACAGTATCTTAAAGTCACTGAACTAGAGTGAAGACTTTTTTACTTGTTAGTGATCTGGCAAGCATTCTTTGGGCTAGTGTATCAAATCTCGGCAAGAAATCATAAGCAAACGGGAAAGGGTAGAGATGTATGTTATCTATGTTAAATAAGTATTTATTATATGAGTGAATACTTGGGTAAATGGGGGAAAATCCCATAGGAAAATCTTTGCAGAAAGAATTTAGCCCTAAGCTATGCAAAGCAGAAAACCAAGCCCATCACTTTTTATCACTTAGCAGCAATGCAATGACATGACTCAGCCTACCAGTGGTCTGTGTTCACCTTCTGCGTTAGTGTTACTGGGATATATGCAGATATGTTTAACCGAAAAGTTTTGGATTTTTTGTTTTGTTTGAGATTGGATTCTATGTTGCCCAGGCTGGAGTGCAGTGGCTATTCTCGGGCACAATTACAGCTCACCGCAGCCTCGAACTCCTGGGCTCAAGTAAGTGATCCTCCCACCTCAGCCTCCTGAATAACGTGCACACCACTGCACTGCACCCAGCTGTTTAATCCAGAGGTTTTAACAGTCCATCTTAAAAGAATGTGGGAATTCCAAGTGTTGATCAATTAGGTAAAAGGCAAGTTACAAAAAACTCAAGGTAAAAAGGTGCTCTCCCTCCTGGGGCCTAGCACTTGGGGTCTGGGCTTTGAGGCTTAACTGGTCCTCGTGCATGCCCCCACAAGTGGAGCCAGCTGGTGAAAACAGAGGCAGAGCTGGGACAGAGCAGGGCCCATAGACTCAGAAAGTCCTATCTTACTAGCCAGACCCAGCTTCTCTCCCTTGTTAATCCTGACATTAAAACCAGAAGGGACATAACTGCAAAATCAGCAACTCCCCACAGAGAAGGGGACTCTGGGATAAAAACAGCCAGCACATTCTCCTGCCATTGCCAATTGTGAAAGAACTAGACTTTAACTTATTAAAAAGGAAGAAGTCAAAAAGGCCTGAATGCCAACATGCCACCCTAAAATCGTAGGTTTAACCCATGAGGAGAGTAGGCCAGAGATCAGCTACAAGAGAGAACTGGCGGGCTGGGTCCTGCAAAACTGTGAGGCCCAGCAAATCAAGGTGGGGCCCTCTCCTTCCCGGGGGTCAAATTCTGCCCAATCCCTCCTTCATTCCTGTTCTCAGCAGACTTCACATGCCAGCTCTAAGGCCTAAGTTCTCACCCTCCCGGAAAGGTTGTGTTTGATTGTGTGACTGTGGAAGACTGAAAGCTTTTCGCTCAAAGGAATAAAAGTTTAACCAAGCCGGGCGTGGTGGCTCACGCCTGTAATCCTAGCACTCTGGGAGGCCGAGGCGGGAGGATTGCTCGAGGTCAGGAGTTCGAAACCACCCTGAGCGAGACCCCGTCTCTACAAAAAAAAAATAGAAAGAAATTAATTGACCAACTAAAATTATATATACAAAAAATTAGCCGGGCATGGTGGCACATGCCTGTAGTCCCAGCTACTAGGGAGGCTGAGGCAGAAGGATCGCTCGAGCCCAGGAGTTTGAGGTTGCTGTGAGCTAGGCTGACGCCACGGCACTCACTCTAGCCTGGGCAACAAAGTGAGACTCTGTCTCAAAAAAAAAAAAAAAAAAAAAAAAAAAAAAAAGTTTAACCAGAGACTGATGCAGACAGAAAGACAATCTGGGACAGATATTGGCCAGGAACTACGCTAAAAACTCTAGCTGCATCACTCATTTCATTCTTACCCCTAACCCAGGAGGTACATCCTCATTTTAGTTATGGGAAAACTGGGGTTTGAAGAGGTTAAATCACTTGCCCAAAGTCACACAGCTTAATTAAGTAGCTGAGTTAAAAAAAATAAATAAATAAAACCCAGTCTGTTTGATTCCAGGGGTTGTACGAGATTGTCACCATCCCAGGAGACTGTCTTTTACACGGCCACGCCTCCCCTTTCCAAACGGTCCGATGGCCTCACTGCCAGGATGGTTAGGGAGTGTGGAGCAGTGCAGCCACCAAGACACAGACACGCTTCCTCAGAGAGAGCCAGGTGGGCCTCTCTCCTGCCACACGCAGAGGCAGCACACACATCTCAGCCATTCCTGAAAGACTGCCAACCCCCGAATAAGGCTTATTAAAAGACTAAAATTAAGGATTTTAAAAAAATGCTTTACCAAGGTCTATATAAATCCCCTAAGAAACAGGATAATATGAAGCATGAAAATGATTTTAAGTTTATAAGGAACAGGATCTTACCTGAGTGCAAGACCAGGACCTTCTAACAGCACGCCGTAGTCTCGGGAAATTTGTTTGGTTAAATCTGACAAGAGCGCGATGTTCATGTGGCCCAAACCACCATTCTAATAAAAATGCAGACATGACTGGCTGTAATCCTGTATGGTCTCACAATATTCTTAACCATGTACTACAATGTTTGGGGCCAACAATAATGACAATAGGTGAAAGTAACTTTGATTCTTCCAAGCAGGTTTCTAGGCAAGAATACTGATGACACAGAACAGTGAAATCAGAGACTCTAACCACCGTCTCACAAGCCCGCAGGGTGCATGGGACCTGCAGAGAGTACAAGTGAAGTGGGAAGCAATGGACCCCAGCTGTTTCCCCTGTGCACGCAGCCTGTCTCCATCACTGCTTATACCTTAGATTAAATACAAGTGTAATGGGCAGTAAACATATACGCAATGTCAAAGAAATATGGACAGAGTTTAACAGACATTGCTAGGAAGTAAGGACTATAAATAGCCCATTTCAGATTTAGTCATGCTTTGACAAATTCTAGGTTGGTCTTTCCTGGGATCTTTTCTGTTTTTAATAACACAAGTGCAAAGGCAAGGTGAGCGATGCTATACCTTCCTTGGTGTATTTATCCAGGCAAGATGACTAAAGTGGGAATCCACTGACACTGCAACAACTTCACAGTTCACGTCCCGAAATTCATTGGCTTTGTCGCTAAAAGCAACAATTTCTGTAGGACACACAAAGGTGCTGGAGAAAAAGCGTAGAAGTTTTCATTAGAATATTTAAAAATAAGGATTTTAACAATAAGTAATGCAAAAACTAGTTCAATTTTTACTGAAGAGTGAAATAGGCAAAATTATTAACATCCTCACTGGACTCTAGTGTTAAACTAGTGAAAGAACCACTATCTCCTTACACTTTTTTTTATTTATTTTTTTTTTTAATTTTTTCCCATAATAAGCAGAGTTGTATCCTTACACTTTTTAATGAAGGAAGTGTATCAAAAATGGGGGAGGAGACATATTTAAATAAAGTATCTTTATGAAAACTCATTTTATTATCATTACTTTTCTAATTTCCCCCCAGAAAATTGAAAATTTCTTCATAGGCTAACTTAAAGAACCACTACTCCAGGGCACATAAAATAGGGCCATTTTGTAACCTTTAGCATGAAAAGGAATACTACTCCACCCTGTAAGTTTAGCACTTGTAAATGACCTACAGATGGAAGCTGTAATCAACAAGGCCATCAGCAATAAATGTTCAGAAAGAAACCTTCTCAACAAGGAGAGTAACTAGAGGTAGACAGTTTCAGTGTGGAAGCTCTCAGAATGACATGAAAGCATCATAGAAAATACACTTACAAATCCAAAGGATAGAAGAAAAGCACCAAATATTTCCCCTTAAAGTCATCAAGGCTTAGGTCTTTGAACTCCCCATTGACAACGGCTGTACCCTTAAAATAGGGTGCATGCTGAGTGACAGCAGGTGCCTGGTACGAGGAACCTGAAAAAAACCCACACACATATGTAGTTCATCATTTGCTACATCAAGCATGTCTTTGATTTTGTTTAAACTTCTCACTATAATTAATTAGTATAAATCAATTAAAAGATTCAGTTCAACTGTATGTCTTAGGTACAGTTGTCCCTTGGTATCCATGGGGGTCGTTTTCAAGAGCCCTGCCAGCTGGGCGCGGTGGCTCACGCCTGTGATCCTAGCACTTTGGGATGCCAAGGCGGGAGGATTGCTTGAGCTCAAGAGTTTGAGACCAGCCTGAGCAAGAGCAAGACCCCATCTCTACTATAAATAGAAATAACTTAGCCAAACAACTAAAAATAGAAAAAATCAGCCAGGCATGGTGGCACATGCCTGTAGTCCAAGCTACTCCGGAGGATGGCTTGAGCCCAGGAGTTTGAGGTTGCTGTGAGCTAGGCAGATACCACAGCACTCTAGTCCAGACAAGAGAGTGAGACTCTGTCTCAAAAAAAAAAAAAAAAAAAAAAAGAGTCCTGCTGATGCCAAAATCCACAGATGCTCAAGTCCCCTATAAAAAATGGAGTTGTATTTGCATATAACCTATGCACATCCTCCTGTATACTTTAAATCATCTCTAGGTTATTTATAATACCTAATACACTATAAATGCTATGTAAATAGTTGTTATATTACATTGCTTAGGCAATGACAAGAAAAAAGTCTGTATATATTCAGCACAGACATAATCATCGATTTTTTCCCAAAAACTATATATATTTTTTTCGAGACAGTCTTACTCTGTTGACCAGGCTAGAGTGCTATGGCATCAGCCTACCTCACAGCAACCTCAAACTCCTGGGCTTAAGCCATCTTCCTGCCTCAGCTTCCCCAGTAGCAGGGACTACAGGCATGTGCCACCATGCCTGGCTAATTTTTTCTATTTTTAGTTGTTTGGCTAATTTCTTTCTATTTATAGTAAAGATGAGGTCTCGCTCTTGCTCAGGCTGGTCTCGAACTCCTGAGCTCAAGTGATCCTCCCGCCTTGGCCTCCCAGAGTGCAAGAATTACAGGTGTGAGCCACCATACCTGGCCTCCCAGAATATTTTTGATCCATGGTTGATTAAACCTAAGAAAGAGATGGAGGCCTGACTGTACAGTAATTTCTCCTTCTATGGTTCTAGACTGTACACAAATTCAATTCAAAGTGCTATGGAAACTAAAAAGTGGAAGACAAAGATAGTAGGGATGGAATTAAGAAAGACATGAGACAAGAGATAAATTTTAAATATGGTTCAGATTTTGTCCTGTCTAGATGGGACAGGGCAGATGGGATGATGCCTGTATCAAGGCATGGCTGGAAGGGGGGAAGGAATGGGGAATGTGCAGGGAACTGCCTGTGGCATAGTCTGATGAGGAAAAAGCAAGCAGGAAGGGCTGAAGGCCATGCTTCAAGGGTCCTTAAACACCAGGCTGCTGAGTCAGTTCTTAATAGGAGAGATAACAGGGAGTCATGGGAGGTTTTTACGTAGGAGATACATGAGGAGACAGCTATTTTTGAGAAGATAATTTGGGAGGAGGGTAAGAGGAGCAAGAAGAGGGGAGACCTGTTAGGAGGTGATTTCAGTGATCTCAGTAAGAGGTATTGAGGGGAGGGTTGTGGCAGAAAGGACAGGAATGGATGCAAGGTATGTGTCAAAACTGGAGAGGACTTGCTTCTACCTGGGAATGAGGGACAAAGGAGATCCAGTGTCAAAATGCCTGAGACTGCGATGAACAGAAGCAGGAGAAATTGCTGGGATGAGGATTTGGGACCAGTGGAGGAAAGTTTTAACCTGTAGCATCAAATCACTACTAGAAATATTTTAAAGACCCAAGGTAGTAAAAATGTGAAACTTCTGAGAACATTTTACCCACAAACAAAAGCTTTGCTAAAGTATATGTCCTAAACCATTTATGATTTTTCAAAGCCTAGACAAATCTAAAGGAGGTATTTTCAAATGCCAATAGTTATCTAAGGCTGAGCTGGGTAAAGCTTGTATCCTAGAGAATGGAGTATAAATTTCAAGAAACAGCTAAGTTTCACTCAGGTGGCGGAGGATTCCATTAAACAGGTTTGGTTCCTAAGTGGCTAGTTGGAGCCAGCAGACAAGTTTGAATCATAAAGCAGCTGTAGTCTCAGGTCCCCACAGGCTGCTCAACACTCACACCTTTCATTCACAGCAGGCCCAGAAGGCACCCGAGTACCCTCCACCCCATACCCCTCAAAATAGAGGATTAAAAGCTCTGGCAACTAAAATGGAAATGTGACAAGGGCAGTTTGCCTCAGTGATTCTCAACCCTGGCTGCACATTAGAATTACCCAGTGGGCTTTTAAAAAATATTGACATCCTGGTCTCACCCCTGAGATGGATTTAATTTGTCTGGGGGGTGGAGGTATTAGATAGTGCTGTGGTTTTAAAAGCTCCCAAGGTGATATAATGTAAAGCCAGGGTTCAGAGCCCCTATCCAGAGATGATGATTTGAGTTTCCTTTACCTGGGTCCAACTAAGGCATAACAACACTTACTGGTGCTAAAGGCTTGGCCAGAACCAGACCACAATACATTTGTCAAGCCCGTCCTTCTGACAGCAGCAGGCCTAAGGGATGCAGAAGCAGAAATGCCCCAAGGGATGGCGCTCACCTGTCGAGCAACCTGGAAAGAAAAAGACTTTATATTAGAAAGTTTTTCCAGACTGGTGACTGAAGCTGGTCCTGCAGAAAGGACATCATGCCAATGGTGGCCTCTGCTGTCCTTGTCCCTGTGAACCAAATACCAAACCCAAAACTATAAGATCATCAATAGGGTGTCCATGTTCTCAACACTCCCTTTTGCTTCTTACTCCTTTGCTGAACAGAAGGTGGAGGGCAACTATAAGAACTTGAGACTAATCAATTAAAAACTCCATGCTCTTAAAAGCAACACAGATGCTGAAAATGTCAAGTGGTTAAAAAAAAAAAAAAAAAAGCAACACAGAGGGTCCGAAACCCAGGCGACTTGGCCAGACCTTGTGTATTTAAGTACTATCTGCTGAGTATGTGCTACCATGTCAAGGCTTTCCCTACAAAAGACAAGGTCTCCAGCCCCACCAAGTAAATAAGTAAAGCAAGGTTCAGCCTCTGGGAAAGTTTGGACAAGGTTCAAGGGAAATGTTTGCTCAACTTTAATGACTAAGGAAGAAGGGCCTGAGTTGAACCCCCCATAAAAAAGAGGGGTAGCAAGATATCACTGGGCTTTCCCAGGAGAAAAGCAGGAAACAAGGGCAAACGACGTCAGAGACACAGGGAAGGCAGGGTGGGAGGGGGCCGAAGCGTGGCGGGCGCCTTTTGTTACTTTAGCACTTTGCGTGTTTCCATCCACCATTTAACTGGCTGTTCACAGCAATGCTTTGATAGAGCCATCATTCTTTCAACTTAAGGAAAATAAAAACGCTCAGAAAGGCGAAGTCCCTCGTCCAAGGTCAGAGTCAGTGACAGAGAGAATGTCTCCAGGCCTGGGACTGGATGCTTACTTAGGTGGAGAAGGGATGGGGACCGGAGCCTCACAGCCAGGAGGGACTCGGGGAGCCGGCCGCTAGGAGGGAGCGGGAGAAGGAGCGGGAGGAGGAGCGGGAGAAGGGCGGTTCTGCGCAGGCGCAAGGAGCTTGCCCGGGAGGAGGCCTCTGGGTCCGTTACACGCTGACACCTCCACGAAGGGCGAATGGCCCCTAGGCCTAGGAGAGCGGGGTCTGTCCGGGAAGCAAGTTTCCTGGAGCCACCATGGTTTCTACACGCCTGTCCCCACACGACAGCCACTCACCGAGGCCCGGAGCAACCTGCACACAGCTGCCGCCATCTTCAGCGTGCGCGGGAGTCGCGGGGCGGGCGGAGACGCAGGGGGCGGGGCCAACGGGAGGGGCGGGGCCTCGGTGGCGGGGGCGGGGCCGGGAGGAGCCTCCTGCCTTTCCGGGGCGCTGAGAGGGAAATTTCCTTTAGGGCTGAATGCCTGGGGAAGCGACACTTTGCCTTCCTACTTGTCCCAACTTAAAAAGAACTAATCTAGGAGGGGAGCTAATTATTTCCATATTTCCTACTGATTTTTTTGTTACCGTAGTGTAGATTCCTGTTTCTACCATTTCTGTGAAAGGATCCCTTTCCTATTTGGGCCTCAGGTAGAGCCTTCTGGCTTCTGCAAGATAGAGAATTAATTACTAACGTAGTTTTAGTCCGTGAATAAGCTAATTGGGTCAGACACATCAAGGCTTTATTGGCCTGGAAACCTTTGGGAGTGGGCGTGGGCTTCCATTTTGTACTCTTCCCAAAATTGGGAGAATAATGACAAATTTAAAGTTTGGTTTTTGTCAATTAATAAAGGCAAGTACTGAGTGGTAAGCACTGTACTTTGAAGCAAACATCAAACATAGGTAAAAATCACCTGGTGGCCTTTCAGTAAATGGGACAGATCTCTAAGCAGGTATTTTTCAAGCACTAGTCATTCCATTACCAACTTAGTGTCTCAAGTCTGCATATCACCTAAATATTAGTTACTATTTTATTAAATCGACTCACTTTTTAAAAATTTAAATGAATTTATTTGAAAGAAAATGTTCAATAATATAAATGACAAAAACATTCTCTTCTGGCTGGGCATGATGGCTCACACCTGTAATCCTAGCATTCTGGGAGACTGAGGTGGGCAGATCGCTCAAGGTCAGGAGTTTGAAACCAGCCTGAGCAAGAACGAGACTCCATCTCTACTAAAAACAGAAAGAAATTAATTGGCCAACTAAAATACATAGAAAAAGTTAGCTGGGCCTGGTGGCACATGCCTGTAGTCCCAGCTACTCGGGAGGCTGAGGCAGGAGGATTGCTTGAGCCAGGAGTTTGAGGTTGCTGTGAGCTAGGCTGATGCCATGGCACTCTAGCTGGGGCAACAGAGTGAGCTCTGCCTCAAAACAAAACAAAACAAAACAAAAAACACCCCTTATAACTTGCTACAAATGTAAGGTAATTTGAAACACATTAAAACAAAATGCTATTAAGCTCTAGCTAGACACAGTTGTCTACTGAAAGTCTGAGCCTTTTTGTTAAAAAGGGAGAATGAGAGTGGTGGTCAGACATCCCAGCCTTGCATGAGACCTTCTCATGGATGTAATCAGAAGGACTCAGAATTTAAAAGACAATACTTAATCTCACGTTGAGATTTGATGCTATTTTTTCATTTTGCTTCCCACTTCCCCAGCAGTGTATTTCCTGAAATCATCTCAGATACCACTAGGTGCCACTCTGGGTACCAGTCCCCTGCTTTGGAAAGGACAGCCTTGGATGTGAGGGGGGACACATATCTCTCAACCATTTCCCCTCAGTACCTGCCTCGTGTTTAGTTGGTTTTCATTATGTGTGTGTGTGTTGAGCAGATGATTGAAAAGAAAGGGGGATCATAATTTTGGGGCTCAAAATCATACTGCAGTTCATAATGGAATATTATTCAGCCATAAAAAGGAATGAACATGCTACAATATGAGTGAACCTTGAAAATGTTATGCTAAGTGAAAGAAGCCAGACACAAAAGACACATATTATATATTTCCTTTTATATGAAACATCTAGCATAGATAAATCCAAAGAAACTTCAGAAAGTATAATAAATTGGTGGTTGCCAGGGGCTCGGAGAAGGGGGGGGATGAGGACTGACTGTTTAATAGGTATGAGATTTTCTTTTGGGGTGATGAAAATATTTTGCAACTAAATGGTGGTTGTACAACATTGTGAATTTACTAAATACTGCTGGATTGCACACTTTAAAATGGTTAATTTTATGTTATGTGAATTTCATTTCAATTTCTTAAAAAAGAAGAAGAAATAAGGACTAACAATGACAAAATTATGTGCTGTAGTCTAGCTCAATGATTTAATAGACAAGAAAATTGAGACTCTGGGAGGTGGAGAGACCTTCCCAAAGTCACATAGCTGGCTAGAAGCAGAGGTAGGACTAGAACTCAGAACTTCCTCACCCCTGACCAGCAGCGTGTGAGGCTGGCTTGGAGTTCAGGCTCAGCACCATTTCATCAGCCGTCTTATGAGTTAACATCACTCACACTGCAGCTTTCTCATCTTCTCCCTCATACTGAGCTGCCGTCTTCAAATACTTAGCTGCTGTAGCTCAAGTCAAAAAGGTGGGGGCAGTGGCAAGGGGGCAAAGCCAAGCCAAGGGGTAGCTTTCTCTTGTCCTTATGCCCACAGTCCTTTGCTGTCCACCTCTCCTTTCCTCCTAGCATTCTGGAGGGAACCTCTCCCATTGTAGGGACGTATTGTGTACTTCAAATACACAGGCAGTTTGTCGATTAGTAAAGCCAAGTGCTCCATGGTGAGCACCGTACTTTGGAGCAAGCACATCACCTAGTGAAGATGTACAGCACAGTGTGGGCCCAGGCAGCAGAGCAGAGTGGAGTTCCCTCGTGATTTAACCTCACTCATCTTGGCTTCAGTTTTAAAGGTCAGATGCATGAATTAGTCCCAGGCCATTGGCTGGGGCCTATTTATACTTGGAGGTAACATCACTTGCTGTCTTCCATGAAGGCCACCCTCCTCCTGCTGCCTTCAGTCTGGCGTGCATTTCTGGCATCCTCCTGCCCCCAGCCCATTTTAGCCTCTGGAGTAATACATTTATTTTCCTATGTAGGTCTCAGGTAGAGCGCTCTGGTGTTTTATGAAAATTTTATCAGTTAACAATGTGATCAATCAGTTAATAAACTTTTTTTTTGAGACAGAGTCTTGCTGTCGTCCAGGCTAGTGGTGCAGTGCAGGGGTGTCATCATAGCTCACTGCAACCTCCAACTTCTGGGCCCAAGTGATCCTCCTGTTTTAGCCTCCAAAGTAGCTGGGACTGCAGTCACATGCTACCACACCGGGCTAATTTTTTCTATTTTTAGTTGCCTGGCTAATTTTTTTTCTATGTTTTAGTAGAAGCAGAGTCTCACTCTTGCTCAGGTTGGTCTCGAACTCCTAAACTCAAGTGATCCTCTCACTTTGGCCTCCCAGAGTGTTAGGATAACAGGCGTGAGCCACCGTGCCCAGCCACAATAAACATGTACCAAGCAGATCACTCTGGCCCCGCTCCTGAGGAATTCTGTGTGTATGCAGGGAGTACTGACAGGACTGTTAACAAAAAAAAGAAAAGAAAGAAAGAAAGAAACCCAGAGCTCAAGACTCAGCATTTTAAGGGGCATGAAAGAAGCACAGTGGTTGAGTGTGGTTCACCTGGGTTCAAATACCAGCTCTGCCACTTATAGGCATGTGGCCTGGGGCAAGTTACCTAACTCTGCACATTTTCTCATCTGTAAAATGGAAATGATGTTAATACTTCCCCCTAGGGTTATTGTGAGGAATAAGTGCATTAATATTTTAAAGGCATTTGGCACAGTCGGCAGGCACATAGTGTTTGTTATATTAAATAAAAGGGAAGGGCAAGTAAAGTGCTATGAGAGATTAGAGAAAGAGACCAAGTAAGGCTTATAGAGAAACCATCTATTCTGCTTGTGGAGAGAGGATAGGGGAAGGGCGAGGGGGAAGATGGCATGTAGAAGTGATCAGTGACCTTTGTCCCTTTGGCTTATTCGGTGAACATTCATTGAGAACATACCATGGGACCAAGCTCTGCGTTGAATGTATTTTATTTGATCTTCACACAACCCTGTAACATGGGTACTGTTTTGTTGTTGTTGTTTGGTTTTTTTTGAGACAGAGTCTCACTCTCTTGCCAGGGCTAGAGAGCCGTGGCATCAGCCTAGCTCACAATAACCTCAAACTCCCGGGCTCAAGCGATCTTCCTGCTTCAGCCTCCCGAGTACCTGGGACTACAGGCATGTGCCACCATGCCCAGCTAATTTTTTCTATATATTTTTAGCTGGCCCATTAATTTCTTTCTATTTTTGGTAGAGATGGGGGGGCTCACTCTTGCTCAGACTGGTTTCAAACTCCTGACCTTGAGCTATCCTCCTGCCTCGACCTCCCAGAATGCTAGGGTTACAGGCATGAGCCACTGTGCCTGGTTGGGGTACTGTTTTTAATCCATCATCCTCATTGGATAGGTAAGGCTACTGAGCCTTGGGAGTTTGCTTATTGCTCAAAGTCCCATGGCTGGAAAGGGAGGGAGCCAGGATTAAAACCATGAAAGCTGGCTGCAGAGCCCCTGTTCTTAATGAGACATTGCCCCATCTCCTGCATTATTTGTTGGCGCCTGATGGGGTGTAATAGGAGAGAGTGTTAAAAAGGTGGGCTGGGTCGGAACATGGGGAGTGCTGGCCATCTGTCCTTCAGCAAAACACCTGACAGGGGTGCACTCCTCTGATGCAGTATCCTCTGCTCCTCTGAGCAGTTCTAGCGGGTTCTGCCCTTTCAAGTGATGTCCACCATCCTGGGCATTTGCCTGGCTGTGTCCCCTCTACCCTCGGCCCTCTTTTCCTTCTCAAGGGTCTGTCTGCTCCTGTCTTCCTGCTGAGGTTGTGGGAGGAAGGCACTCATTTGTGACAACCAAAAATGTCTCAGAAATTACTAAATGTCTCCTGGGGACAGAATCACCCCAGTGGGAAGCCACTGCTCTAATGGTAATGGCACAGGCTCTGGAGCCAGCAGGACCGAATTCCTGGTCTGTCACTTATGGTCTTGGAGGTAGGGCAAGTGCCTCAGGCGTCATGGAATCCCTTGTGGGTAGACCAGTTACCTAACTTCTCTACACCTCAGTTTCCATGGGTGTAAAATAAGAATAATGATGGCATCTGCCTCACAGCGTCAACTGTGGGGAGTGAGATAATCATGCCAAATGCTTAGGGGATACAGGGCACAGAGAAAATGTCAAGTAAATGTTATGATTTGTCCATAAGCAGACACACTACATTCTTGAACCACTGGCACAGGGTCTGG